TCTTGTTGCTTTTGATCGCGAGGCTGCCTCTGCTGAAAGACTAAATAATTTAGAGGCAGCCTTGAACTCCAAAATTGAAGATCTTGCTATTGTCGGGGTGAAATATGCCCAATTGGAGGAGGAGTATTAGAGGACCATTGAGCATAACTGACTTTTCAGCTCTACTGTCCGTTGTTAGCCTCCGGTCCGTTAGATCTGCACGGGAAAATCTTTCCTGTCGAGGTTGACCAACTTAAAGAAGAACTCAAGCGTCGAGCGGCTTCCCTAGTTGTTGAAAAAAAGATACATTATGTACAGCATGAGGAGAAAAACTTTGGAAGAGGCTAAAGCAAGTGTCATCGACTTTGATGCCAAAATCGCTAAAGCCCTTAAGCTGGAGTCAGCTGCTAAAAGGGGTCTTCCGACAAGGCCTGATGCTCGCGGTTCTTTTGGTTCCAATTTCAAGTCCTCGGGAACTGAAGAGGAACCGAAAGACGAAGATGTTGAAGGCCAAAATGATGAAGGTCAAGATATCGAGCCGGCATAAGATCTACCTACTTCCCTAGGGGACATGGATACTTCTCTTCCTCCGGGCTCTGGAGATGCAGCAACTTAGCTTTTCATTTATTTTCCCAATTTTTGTACTTGTACCGTTTTGGTATATTTATTGTAAATAAAAACATCTTTTGCTCTAGTATTGTATGAGTCTTTCTGCGTTCTTTTGTTTGAACATTTATGCAAGTTTTAATCTTTGCATTCTTTCTTGCTTAAGTGTTTTGCGCAAGTTTTATTGTTTGCGTCTGATTATGCAAGGCTTTGGGTGTATTTTCCCCTGAAAGCATTTGGATTTCGGGCGCAAGTTCTACCGAAATCAATCCTTTATTGTGAGAGTTTTCATAAAAGAGGGCCCTCTTATGTTTACGGTGCTCTTGAAGAGAACGTCTACTGCTCTTTACGACACTAGCATTTGAAGTACTTGTTTAACTTTTAAGTGAAAAAATCAATTCATCGTTTAAACAAGAAACACGATAGAAATAAAAGGACTTTACTTTATTCCTTCCATTTTCAAAAAGTACATAAGCATTCGTTATGCTAAAAAATAAATTTCCGTTTCATGTGGCTACTTGTGTAACTTGTTTCTACGGGGCTGGCCGCGCAGTCCCTGGTCCAGAAGATACAACTATGTTTTCGGTTTTCGTATTACGATCCACGTGTCAGTCATTGTTTCCGTTTCCTCATATCATTCCCATAGTGTTCAAATGAGAAGAATGCAAATTTGAACACTAGACGTTCTGCACCTTCGAGGATTCCACTAATGAATTGCTTGATAATCTTCAGTTCGGTAACAAACTTCACTTCCCTTAGGAATTTATGCTATCAAGCCAAAGACTATCTAACAATCCCCTAGTGGATTACACTTGTGAATGGTCGAGTAACCTTTGTTCGATAGCAAACTAAACTTTCCGGTGGGAACTTTGCTGCCGAGCAAAAGATTATCTAACCGCTCTGGAGTGGTTCTTCGCTTGAATGCCTTGTTATTAGAAGGTCTTATTGCTGCTGTTGAAAATTTTCCTCGTAGTACGCTTTTCATTGCTGCCTCATTAAAAACCTTGCTAGAAAACCCAATTGGGACAAAAACTAGGCGAAGGGAAAAAGAGTGCAGCACATACTTTCAGTACAGGTGATGTTCATCAGCAATAATATCTCTTAAGGTATACACATTCCAGTTGCTTGGAAACTTTTCTCCATTTTGATTTTCCAACTCGTATGATCCTTTTCCGGTGACAGCTGAAACCCGGTAGGGGCCTTCCCAAGTTGGACCTAACTTTCCTGCATTGAGTTCCTGGGTATTTTGAGTTACTTTCCTTAAAACCAAGTCTCCTACTTTGAAATAATGGAGGTTGGCTCTTTGATTGTAATATCTTTCTATTCTTTGCTTTTGAGCTGCCATCCTTATATCCGCCAAGTCCCTGCGTTCATAGAGCAATTCCAAATTGACCAATATTAGTTTGTTGTTTGCTTCTTCATTCGCCTGAATGTATCTCAGGGTAGGTTCCCTTGCTTCCACCGGGATCAGAGCTTCTGCTCCGCAAATAAGGGAAAAAGGAGTATCTCCTGTGCTCGATTTGGACGTTGTTTGGTACGCTCATAGTACCCCGAGTAGCTCTTCGGGCCATCTGCCTTTAGCTGCTTCCAATCTCTTTCTGAGATTTTGAATAATCACTTTGTTCGTTGACTCCACTTGACCATTTGCGCTTGGATGATAGGGCGAAGATGTGATCCTTTTGATTTTCAAGTCTTCAAGTAACTTCGTGACCTTTGCGCCTATAAACTGTGGCCCGTTGTCACAGGCTATCTCTTTTGGTATCCCAAATCTACAAATTATGTTCTCCCACAAGAAATCCACCACTTCACGTTCACCGATCTTCTGATAAGGACCTGCTTTAGCCGACTTAGAAAAATAGTCAGTTAAAATCAAAAGAAATCTTACCTTTCCAGAGCCGGTGGCAGTGGTCCGACGATATCCATTCCCCACTTCATGAATGGCCATGGAGATAAAACCGAGTGTAACGGTTCTTCTGGTTGAGGTACCAATGGTGCGTAGCATCGACACTTATTGCATTTTTGGACAAAAGCTTTGGCGTCTTGCTCCATTCAGGTCCAGTAATATCTTGCCCTTACCAACTTTAGTACCAAGGAATCTACGCCCGAATGATTCTCGCATAACATAGTTTGCTTCGGAGGCTCTCAAGCATCGGGCCAGCGGGCCTTGGAAAGATTTCTTGTACAATTGACCTCCTTTGAAGCTATATCGTGCTGCTTGCGCGCAGCGCACAGGATGCCTCAGGATCTTCAGGAAACTTTCCGTGCTCAATGTAATCAATGATCTCATTCCTCTAGTCCCAGACCAAATTAGTCGCATTTACCTCCTAATAGTGTCTGCATCTAGAACTGAGTGCAAAAGTTGTACGATCGTACCGGAGTCCGATCCCTTCATTTTCGTTGATGATCCAAGGTTAGCTAATGCGCCTGCTTCTGCATTTTCCTCCCTTGGGATATGTGTAATCGACCACTCCCGGAATCGAGCAAGTAGAGCCTGAACCTTCTTTACGTATTGTTGCATGCGTTCCTCTTTGGCTTCGAAGATCCCGTAGACCTGATTCACCACCATCTAGAATTCGCATTTGATTTCTACAACCTCGGAATCTAGTCCCCTGGCCAATTCGAGTCCTAAAATTAAAGCTTCATACTTCGCTTCATTGTTAGTCAGAGGAACTGTTGTTATGGCTTACCTTAGGGTTTCTCCCGAAGGCATGGTCAATACTATGCCAAGCCCGGACCCTTTTATGTTGGAATCTCCGTTCGTATATAGGAACCAAACCCCTGATGTCAATTCTGACACCATCACTACTTCTTTGGTAGCTAGAGGTAACAATCCTGGACTGAAATCGGCCATAAAGTCGGCCAAAACTTGTAACTTAATTGCAGTCCTTGGTTTATATTCTGTGTCAAATTCACTGATATCGAAGGCCCACTTGGCCAGCCTACCTGAGAGTTCGGGTTTATGAAGGATATTCCGCAGGGGAAAGGTGGTCACCATCGCTATCGGGTGACATTAGAAATAAAGCCTTAGCTCTCGAGAGGCGACTACGAGGGCTAAGGCCAACTTCTCCAAATATAGGTAGCGAGTTTCTGCTCCGGTTAAAATTCTACTAACGTAATAAATCGGAGATTGCATACTATCGTCCTCACTAAAATGGCGCTTACCGCTACCTCCGAGACTGCTAAGTAGCTAAATAAGTTTTCACTCTCCTTCATCTTTGATAGTAACGGAGGGCTTGAAAAGTACCTTTTCATATCCCGCAACTCCTACTAGCATTCCGGGATCCACTCAAAGTCGTTCTTCTTGAGTAGCGCGAAGAAATGGTGGCATTTCTCTGATGATCAAGAAATGAACTTGCTCAAAGCGGTCAATCTCCCTGTAAGCCTTTGAACCTCTTTTACACTTAGCTGGTCCGGGTGGTCTTCGATGGCTTTGATTTTATCGGGGTTAACCCCAATCCCCCTTTGTGACACCAGAAATCCTAGGAACTTACCGGAGCTAACCCCGAACGCGCACTTCTCGGGTTTAAGCTTCATGTTATGCTTCCTCGTGATGTCAAAAGTTTCTTTCCAGCGTTTAAGATGATCACCTACGTTTAAAGACTTAACAAGCATGTCGTCTATATAAACTTCCATGGTTTTCCCTATATGTTTTTCAAACATCTTGTTTACGAGTCGCTGATAAGTGGCTCCGACGTTCTTTAGCCTGAGGGGCATCACATTGTAGCAATATGTGCCGAAATTCATCATGAACGAAGTTTTTTCCTGATCCTCCAAGTTCATCTTAATTTGGTTGTACCCTGAGTAATCATCGAGGAAACTCATTAACTCGTGCCTAGCCGTTGTATCAATCATTTGATCGATATATGGCAATGGGAACGAGTCCTTTAGGCACGCCTTATTCAAGTCCTTATAGTCTACGCACATGCAAAATTTACTTTTCTTCTTAGGAACTACTACTATGTTAGCTAGCCAGCCTGGATACTTTATCTCTCAGATCGAACCGATATCAAGTAAGCGAGTTACCTCTTCTTTAACGAATTTATTTTTTGCCTCCGCAATTGGACGTTTCTTTTATTTTACCGGAGGGATTCTGGGATCCAAGCTTAGCTTGTGTTCATCCACTTCCATCGGGATACCTGTCATATCCTCATGCGACCACGCAAAAAATTGGCATTAAATTTAAGAAATTCAATAAACGCAGACCTGAGCTCAGGGTGCAGTCCTGTACCCAAGTGGAATTTCCTCTCCAAGACTTTTTCGAACAATGCGACTTGCTAAAGTTCTTCCACTGTGGCCTTCGTCGCGTCCGTTGCTTCTGGTACCTGGAAATATCTTGGCACCTTATAAGATTCTGACACCTCTTCCCCTTGGTTGACTTCACTTGATTCGCGAGCAGGCACTGACTCCTATAATTGCTATGCCGCATGCTCCTTCCCTTTGCTATTGGATACCGAAATCACATTCATCTCCCTTGCCGCCGGTTGATTGCCTTTTATCTGTTTAGTCCCCTTGGGAATTGGGAATTTCAGCAACTGATGGTACGTCGATGGTATAGCTTTCACCTCGTGCAACCACGGTCTTCCCGGGATAATATTGTAGCCCATATTACCATCCACAACCTCCAAAAGGATCGTCTTCGTCACCCCCTTGGCATTTGTGGGTAGTAGGAGCTCTCCTCGGGTTGTCACGCTTACGAGGTTGAACCCGACGAGGAGTTTCGTGGCCAGAATGATGCTTCTGGTAAGTTTAGCTTGTTCTAATACCCTCCATTGTATAATATTTGCCGAACTCCCTACATCCACCAGAATACGTTTGATTTTAAAATCTAATACATAAAAAGAAATTACCAGCGCGTCATTGTGCGGTAGCAACAATCCGTCTGCATCCTCCTCCGTGAAAGTGATGTCGTCTTTAGGACTTCCCGGAGCCTTTTGCTGTGGGTTACTGATACCTTTGTCTTTTTTGCTGCCGCGAAGGTAATCCCGTTAATCTCGTCCCCCCCCCCCCCCCACCCCGAAAATCATGTTGATTGGCTGGCGCGGGGGATCTTCTTCTGCTTTTGAGGGCTCCCTGTTATCACGGTTGTGACAATAATTGTTTTTAGCCCGGTCGCTTAAGAATTCCCTGAGATGGCCATTTTTCAGTAGTGTTGCCACCTCTTCACACAGATGTCGGCAGTCCCCAGTCCGGTGGCAGTTCATCCCGTGGTATTCGTACCACAAATTAGGGTTCCTCTGGCTAGGATCGAACCTCATCGGCTTCGGGAACCGTTCTTCTTTAATGTTTCTCATAGCCGATACCAACTCTACTACACTAAAGTTGACGTTGTATTATCATAGTGTGGGGTAGGATAGATCTCGAGAACCTGACGTTTCCTTGTCCTATAATTATCTGTTGTTCCAGCCGCCATCTAATCTTCTATCAGTTACGAACCTGTCTGTCGACCGGAAACCTCTGTCACATCCTTTGGCCCATTCATAGGGCAAAACCTGGCTCCTCGAAGACCGTCTATGTGTGTCGAAATCGTCTTTTGATTTCTCTTTATTCTTCTCCCGACCTTTAGCCGACGGTGGGAAGCTGAGCTGATCATCCTCAATCCTTATCTTTTTCTCGTACCGTTTGTGAACACTTCGCCCAAGTCTCGCTTGGAACTCGAGAAACCTTTCCTTCAACTTTCATGAAGCATCAAAACTTCTCAAATTCAAACCCTTGGTGAACGCTTTAGCTGCCCATTCCTCCGGAACATCCGGGAGCAACATCCTTTCCTTCTGAAATGAGGTCACAAATTCCCACAGCAACTCGGACTCTCCTTGTGCAATTATGAAAATATCGGCCTTTCAGGTCTGCACCTTTCTGGCCCCGATATGGTCATTAATGAAAGAATTTGCAAGCATCTCAAAGGAATCTATGGAATGCTCGGGCAACAACGAATACTACGTCAAGGCTCCCCTCCTGAGAGTCTCTCCGAATTTCTTTAGCAAAACTGATTCGATCTCGTGGGGAGCTAAATCGTTCCCCTTCACTGCCATCGTATATGTGGTAATATGCTTTTGAGGGTCTGATGTCCCATCATATTTTGGCACGTAGGGCATTTTAAACTGCTTCAGGATCAATTCTGGTGTTGTGCTCGGTTTGTACTGCAATTGAGTGTACTTCTTTGAGTCTGATCCCTTCAACACTAGTGGTGCACCCGTGGTTTGGTCCATGCGGGTGTTCACTTCCTTCATAAATTGTATGAGTTCGCTTTTGAAGGGATCGTTCTCGTTTTTGTGACCAGATCCACCCCCCTCAGCCCCATCGAAGCCGACCTCGCCCCTCGGGGTGTTGTTGTCGACCCTCCGTTGTGTGATTTGCGGGAGCACCGGGAGGAACTAGATCTCGTTTGTTCGCGTTATTAGAAGCACTTAATAACGCCTGTTTTAGTTCTGTCATAACCTCATCCTGCCATGTGAGATGGCCGAGAATTGCCTCTTGTTGCTCCTGCAGGACCCTTACCGCTTCAACAACATGTTCTTCTTCAGCATCATCAGGAGTCGCCTCCCGAACATGTCGCGGGTACCGCCTGCGATGGACCAGTGTGGCCTTATTCCCCTCGCTGCGGGTATCACTGATTGAATCTTCGTGCTGAGGCTCGTTTCCTTGGGCCTCAAGATCGTGTGTGTTGTTAACATCATTATCTTCCATTTTCTGTGATATTTTGCTAAGAACAAATAGTCATAACACGTTCATAAAAGAGGCAAGGACCAACTTAATTACACGACTATCTAGGCCCCACGATGGGCGCCAAATTGTTTATCCGTAGAATGGTATAGTTAAATTTATACGTGGTTTATAGACAAGTAAATTAATCTGATCCTAAAATAATAGATCAATTATATAAATATGCAATACTTAGCCTTGAGATAGAGACGAAATAGCAGAAATAATAGTTTCGGCCAACAACAATGAAATCAAAAAGTAGGAAGATAAGATTATATTAAGCTTGAGTGTAGCGTATGTTTGCCAGAAAATTCTTGTCATTTACAATGATAATCGAGCTCATTATTTATAGTTGTACCTAGGGAACACGGTCCTAGGATCAAGCCCCTCTTTAATATCAACTACGAGGGCCATTGAAGAATGTGTAACGGCAGGCATGAATGCCATATTCTTTTGTAACGGCCAGTGTATTAAATGCTGTAGAATATTCTTCATTAAATACTATCAGGTGACGGGCATTTATTTCATCTTTAAGAGTATCATTCTCTCTGGTAACAGACGAGATTGTTGCCTTCGATTTCAGCTATCCTCTATTTTCTTCATTAAATACTATTGGGTGACGGGCATTTATTTCATCTTTAAGAGTATCGTTCTCTTCGGTAACAGACGAGATTGTTGCCTTCGATTTTAGCTATCCTCAATTTTCGACTCCACATGCCACTTTCTGATGCGATCATTTAATATAACATATTTTACCCCATACTGTATACAAATTTAATCAATAATTTATTAGGTATTGATAGAGACAACAAGAAGCCGCAAAAGAATTACTCCTTTCAAGTTCCAACATTTCAACCTATTGTTTTTGTTCTGATCATTCCCATTTTCTTTAGCTAAAATGGCATGACATAGCCATTTTTACGGGTTCTTATTAAAAAATAATCAGTATTTACAAAGCTATTGAAAAGTAGTTATTATTTAACGCGAAATCCTCTGTTGAAACATAGAAAGTTTCAACATAATATATTGGATTATAAAACTTCTGCATATAAACCTCCAATATACTATGTTGGAACTACAACAAATTATGAATTCCAGCACATTATTCTAGAATCTCAACATATTATGCTGGAAATGTTTCGAATTTTAAGGGTGTTTTTGAATAGGATTGTATTTTCGCATGAAAAAGTGACTAAAATTTGATTAATTTTGAAACTATGACTAATTTTCAATTAACAATTGTAAATCTTGCTATTTATGATTTTTTTTCTTTCCCTCCGCACTTGTTCCTATTCTTTAAATTTGGATGGTCCACATAAATCACGTTAATCATTACGTAATTACTACAGTTACGTTAAAAACATATATAAAATGTTGAGTATTGAAGTTTTGATGATTAACAAAGTGTGACTAACTGCTCAAAGAACCAGGTCCTCAATGTAGCTGCTTAACTCTTGTGAAGAACTAGCTCCTCAGGTTAAAGGATCATCTCCTCATGATTGATACTTATACACATGTACAAGACAGTAACTTTATCTCAATGTTACCCAAGTCCGAGTTTGGTGGAAGATGGATGCTATACGTGATAAGGGTCGTTGCTCAAGAAGATTTGGATAATTTAGTCAGAGACAAAAGTCCCAGAGCGTGTGGAATCCTTGGAACAGTAGGAGTCCTATCAAAGAGGAATCTGGCCTTGAATAGGACTCCTAGAAGATCTCAAGTCGTTTTTAAAGAGGATGACTTTGGATTTCCAAACTATCCTTTTACACATCAACTAAAGTGATATAAGTTGTTTTTACTCGTGTTGAGTACTTGCCTTTTGTATTCTTTCGAGTCAGTCTAGTGAATGTGTTTTAGGAAATTGAGTTGTAATCAAACGTCATAAGCAGTTAGTGAGTTGGAGTGAGCAATTTGTTTTACAAGTTACAGTAACTTCTAAATCAAATAGGAGTAGTAGGAGTGCTGGAGAGTATTGAATTACAGACTTGTTGTTGATTCATTTTGGCTTATTGTTCTAGTGGAGTTGGAGTTGAAAATCCTATGTGGTAGGTCGTGGTTTTTGCAGCTTTTGTGCCGGGTGATTTTCCACGTATAATTGTTGTATTCATTTTATTTCTTATTTACTTTACGCTTAAGGAACACAATAAATAAACATGTTCTTAGCAATCCATACGGGCACTCAAACTAACAATTGGTATCAGAGAGGGTCTCTCATTTACACGGCTAATACCTAGAGAAATCTTGGAAGAAAGATGAGTGCTCCACCTAGAATTAATGAAGGACAATTAACTACCAGACCACCCCTGTTCAATGGAAAATATTTTAGTTGGTGGAAAGCAAGAATGAAATATTTCTTGATAGCTGAAGCCTATGAACTATGGATCATAGTTAACCAAGGTCCTTTGATTCCTACTAAACAAAATGCACAAAATGAAACAGTTCCCAAAGACCCCTCCGAATTTGTGGTAGCATATTTCAGAATGATGGACAAGAATGCAAAGGCTATGAAAATCCTTATTTGTGGACTCGGTCCTGATGAGTGCAATAGAATTTCTCCGTGCTCTAATGCGAAGCAGATATGGAATGCACTCCAAACTACTCATGAAGGAACAAATCAAGTAAAGAGATCAAGGCAATAACTACTCATGAGAAACTATGAGCTTTTCTCCATGAAGGAGTCTGAGCCCATCCAAGATTGATGACTAGGTTCACTATAATAACCAATAAACTAAAATTACTAGGAAAGGTGTTTACCTTAGAAGAGTTGTTTAGCAAAGTTCTAAGAATTCTTCAAGCTTCATGGGAATCAAAAGTCACAGCAGTCTAGGAAGCCAAGGAATTGGATAAATCTCACTTGACGAGTTGGTTGAAAACTTAAAACTTAAGAAATGAGAAAGATAGAACTGCGCAAAGAAGAACCAAAGAAGGAGAAGGCCTTGGTTCTTAGAGTATCTGAGGAAGATGAATCTGAATATGATGATCCCGATCTAGCAATGTTCGCCAAGTTCAAGAGGTTCATGAAGAACTCCAAAAGTGCATCCAAGAGAGAGACCAGTGGTAAGCACAAGTAGATCGGCAAAGCTAATAATGATGGGTGCTACAAGTGTGGAAAACTAGATCACATAATAAAGAATTGCCCAATATGGGAAATCAAGTAGAGGAAAGAACAAGCTGAAAAAGAAAAACGGTAAAAGATGAGAGAAAAGGGTTCCAGCAAAGGAAAAATCCTAGGCAAGGGATTTACTGAAGCAATGGAGCGGGCATTCTTCGCAGCATATGAGGACAGTGGGAGTGATCAAGAGGAAGAAAAGGAGGATGAGGTTATAAGTCTCTATGTTTTGATTGATCATGAACACCAAGCTGTGAAGCCAGAACCCTCAGTACAGCTTGGAATGCACATTGGAAGACCTGCTTTGCTTGATGGACACCACTATGATGAATAGAATCTACGTATGGAAACATTTCTTCAGGCTACTGACTTTGACTTATGGGTAATTGTCAGTCATGGACCAATTCTTCAAACCAAATTGGATGGTAAAGGTAACAAGTACTACAAAAGAGATGAGGAGGATGACGAGGAAGATCGTCAGCTAGTTCAGAAAAATGCTAAAGCAAAGGACTTGCTCTACAGAAGTTTGTCTAGAAACACCCTCCTCAGGGTGTCCTCGTGTATCTTTTCTCATTATATATGGAGAACCTTAGAAACTGACTTTGGAAATGAAAACATTGAAGTGGCTCTGATGGCGATTGAAGAATAAAACTGAGCAAGAAGTGAAAAGAATAATGGCCATGAGTGATTCAGAAACTGAAGATAAGGCAAACCAGGTAAGTATATATCTGACTTGAAAGAAAATATTCATGCTATGTCCAAAAAGCAACTAATGGCCATAATTGTGACCTTAATGAATGAAATGGACAAAATGAGTAATGGAAATGATCAGCTAATAAGCAACCTTTCTTGTGTCAAACTTCATATAAAAAAGCTTGAATCTGGCAAAGCTAGTTTAGAGAAACAGGTCAAAGACCTTAAGAACCAGGTTCTTGAACTTACTTATGAGAATGAGAAGTCTCCTGATACACATGGCAAAGGAAAAATGAGTGCTCTGCAGGATAATCTTGGAAAGGAATTAAAAATTGCTAATGATAATCTTTGTGATGCTGGATGAAGAAATAAAAACCTGCATGAAAGCCTAGAAAAGGCTAATTATGAACTCTCTAGACTAAGCAAATGGCATAGGTCTTTTGATGCCTTGAATTGGCTGAATGAAAATTGTAGCTCTAACAAGTCTGGAATTGGCTATAGAAAACTTGTCCCTAAGTTTGACCCAAAGTATGTAGGAATTTCTGATAATAAAATGTGCACTCATTGTGGAAGAGTAGGACACTTTAGAGACACTTGTCCTACCTTATCATGCTCGGTTTAGAAATGTTGATACCCAATTTTTCCCTATATATATATTTTCAAAATAACATATATATATATATATATATATATATATATATATATATATATATATATATGCATATATAAGCATTGCCTAAGGTTTTAGTATTTTCCCCAATTTTTATAAAGATTTTTTAAAAATCAATTTATTTTCCACTTTAGCAATACAAAATCAGTAATTATTCTCAAAATCCTCAATTTTGGTGAATAATTTATTTTATTCCCATGTTTATACAAAAAAATTATAGTTAAGTAATTTTATATACATTTTACAAATTTATTTGGTATTTAAAGCTAAATTGCATTATAATTGCAATTCTAGCCTATTTTAAGTTTAATAGCATTTTTAATTATAAAAATTGGTTCCAGTATTTTTAAAAATTAATATTATGTGTCATTAACTACTCAAGTACTTTTTAATTTGCTTTTAAAATCATTTTGCTATTTTATAAAATAAAGGGAAAACTGGCTACTTAAATTTAGCCTCATTTCGTTGCAATTACAGGCCTATTTACATTTCAATTAAGCCATCAATTGACCCAATCCTAAGCCCCAATTGGACCGGCCCAATTTCAATTTTACCCAGCCCCTTAACCCATTTATTTAACCCGCCCGGCCTTTCTTTCAATCCAGGCCGTTGATCATTTTGATCAACGGCCAGGATCGTCCCTTGCCGTTTTTAATTTCCCTACCCTAACCTAATCCCCCATTTCGTTTGGTCCGCCGCCTTTGAATACTCTCCTCTCTCAAAACCCTCTCGAAGGTTCTCCAGAACCCTAGTCATCTTCAACCCTTTTTCCACCGTACTTTCGCCGGAATCCATGGCTTCTCAGGCCATGGATGGTCTGTACTCACCCCCCTCCACCATTAAACCCTGGGTGTTCGAAGTGTTGAGGTCTGACCTCGATGGTTCTCTTTCAGATCTTCTCAGAGCTATAGTTCTATGGCCTCGGCCGTTGCTCCGGCGCATTCAAGCATTTCGAGCCTATTTCCGATCTCTCCGACTCAAGATCGGGCTTTCTTCCAAGCCTTTCTCATTTCTGGGGTTTCTCCGAGATCCTAAGCTATTCGAGTTTTTTCTCTGTCTGTTTTCTTATATCTATGCTATATCCGTGTTTTATTGGATTTTTACGGTGTTTTCCCCAATCTTTTCTTTCAAAATTGTTTCTCTTCGATTTAGGGTTTCTGAAAGGATTTCAAAACGTCTTTCTGATTCTTCCTTTTCTTTTTTTTATGTGTGTTGGCCTATACTATGTTTTACCACGCATGTGTTGTTCTTCTTCTTTTCTTTCTACTATGCATGACTCTCCTGTACTTTGTATTCTACTGTGCCTTTAAACTAGGCTCGCATGTCAATCTTTGTTATATTTTTCTATCTATTCTTTGCTATACTTTTCAGTATTCTTCTACTGTATGTGTTTCCTACCGAGTTCTTAAGTTTGTTTGCCTTTACTGAACTTCTGTTTGAGTTCTAAACATGCTTCCTTTACTGTTTCTTAAGTTTATATCACTTCTTCTCTCTTCTGAACTTGCTTGAGCTCCGAGCTTTTCTCAAACATGTTCTTTATGTTTTCAAACCTGCTATCAGATCTGTTTGTTTCTCATGAGTCTCTGAAAGAGACCTCTGAGCCTGCTTAAATGGCTTGTCTTCTCATCGCTGTATCAGATTCGAGTTGAAACCCTAGGATCTGAGGGTTTTGGAAAGTTTGATTTGGTGTTTGGACTTGGGTTCTACTTTGGAAACCTGAACTCCCAGACTCATTTTGAGTCTATAAATTGGACTGGAACCTCTTTTTTTATAACTCGAAATTTTTCTATGATAGGTTTTCTAATTAACATGACAACTCTTTCTTGTTTGACATACCTGTGTGCTTTATATATGAGAAATTCTTCCTTCAAAAAGGTTTTACCAACTTATGATTGATTCCGAATTCCTTTTAGTAAGGTTTGATTGATTGTTACTAATTTTCCTTAAGTAAAACCCTTTCCTTCTCTTTTCCTGACTTGGTTCATTCGAACAAAGCCTGCAATTTTGATTTTAATGGCTGTTTGATTGATTCCTTTTCCTTGTTCTCACAAACCGTGTTACTATAAAATTCTTTCCTTAAATAGACCCCTGTGTATTTGCCCTTATTGTACTACTTTGGAGAATATTTTGAGCAAACTCTTTCCATACATAATTTTGCCCGTTTGAAATCAGAATCCCTTAATTAAAGGGAATCCTTTTTGTAATTGATTGCCAAACTATTCTCTTACCTTTTTCTTACTTGCTTGCTACACTATAAAAGGGGACGACCCTTCTGCACTTTGAACTTCCAATGGAATACTCTTTAAGACAACTTTGAGTTTAATACTCTAACATACATGCATACTTTCAATTTCAATACTCTTACACTTCACCCAACACTCTACTCTCTTCTGAGACCTGCTGATTGTTTGCTTGCAATTTGGTTTTCAAGGCTACTGTTTTACTTTCTTGTTTCCCTGAAACTTGTGCGTTCTAATTTAATTTTTAGCCTCATCCCAACGTGTTTACTTTACAGTTTCCACATCCCTGTCTGTTCTACTACTTATGTTTAATGTTAATTAGCAAGTCAATTCCCTTGCATATGTTTCTACTATGAATCCCTACACCCCTGACTGCATTACTACCTGTGTTTGATGTTAATCAGCAATGTCAATTTCATTGAACATGTTTCTATTTGTGGATCCCCATATCCCTATTCCCATATATGTGTTTGAGTTAAAGTTTGGGCATGGCAGCACCTAAATTGTTGTTCATGTCTGGGCTTGATCCTTTAAGAGATCATAACTCCCAAACAATATGGCTAACAGGCTGGTTAGGGGTGTGCCAGCACTCCTAATTGCTGGGTATTACCACCAGCCTATCTTGGCTCTCCCAGAATCCCCTTTCTGCACTTACACTCACTCTTAGTTTCTAAGTTCTGCCCCCATCCTATGAGCCTTGCTTTAGGGACCTTGAGTTCCCTCTGAACTTGGACATTTGAGGGCTGGCCTTTCCACACTGCACTTCCATTCAATTCTGCAATATGTTTGGGTGTAAGCACTGCCCAGAGTTCATGAGGCTTTTGGGAACTCTGACACACCCAGAAAATGAGAAAGGCTTTTGAAATTGGATCTTTGGAGTTGGTTTATTTCATATTTCAGACCTGGAGTCTGAATCAGGCTCTCCTTGGTTGTACTCTAATTTCTGATGTAATTTTATTCTTCTTGATTCGTTCTGGTTTGTAATAATTTTTGTAATAACTTATGGGGGTTTTAGTGAAAGGGGAAGGATCACTCATGTATGCATACGGGTAGACATCATGTTCTTAGGTATTTATTCCTGTAATCGCATCCTGCTTTTCACTTATGCATTTCATATAGAAATCCTGCCTATAGTTCCGCACTTCTCATATATAGAAATCATGCCTTCGATTTTCTGCACTTATGCATATATAGATACCATGTCTTTAAGGTTTTGCACTCATATAGATACCATTTCTTTAAGATTCTGCACTCCTGCATTATTAGATATCATGCCTATTGGTTTCACCTAGGCAAGCCATTAGGTAATTAATTAACTACACCAGTCTTTAATAATTACAACCAGCGGGCAGTCCTAAT